TACTTATGTCTAGTTCTTGATGGAACAGTTTTTGCAAAAATTTTGTCCAACAATCTCTCAAATTAATATCACATAAGCAGCTATAAATTATAGCAATGAATATTGTCCTGAAATTACTCCAAAGATACAATCATTGCTTCTTGAAAGTTTATAATTGTAGATGTTATATTATGCATGTGCAAAAATTCCCAGCACTTTTAGAAAACTAGATACTAAATAGACAGTAGGAAACTGACTTTGAATGTTCTGAATTCAGTGTTTATTTAACATGAGAAAAAAAAAAGAGAGAAAGGACTACAGGAAAAAGACATGGTGTGAAATTGCATGTTGCACATTTTCAAATTGGACAAGACAAGTAAAGAGAATGGTAGACTGAATGTTACAAGTGAATGCACTAAAGAACAAAAAGGCAATTTACAGGATTGCTAAATCAGAAATTCTATGACTGCATAACGATGACGACATATTCACAATTTATGGTCCCCCCCCCACTTTTTATTAAAAAAAACAAAACAGAATTGGAAAGAAGAGAAATTCACCATATTTGGTGCTATTAGGTAATCGTGTTGATCAATACAGAAATCTAAATTATGTTCAAAATTTCATTGATAACTTTACAGCATTAAAGTCAGGGTTGTTTTATAAAGATGGAATCTCTAAACTTCTTGAAAATTTGGCATCAGTTTGAGAAACTCAAGCAAAGAAAGATCTTTGCTTAACAAGTAGTAGATATAGAAAAATATGCTAAATGGAAGTTGAATTTTCTTTTATGCAATATGTCCTTTTTTGTTACCATAGATTTATCTTCCTTGCACTAAAGGGATCAAATAGAAGTGTCTCTGTTATGACAATAGTAGACTGTTCAAAAATATTAGCAAAACCCTAAGGTTTATGAAAGACAACAAGGATAATAATATTCAAAGACTTACATTTCAATTAACCACTATTATTAATAAACTGGTCTCCCAAAAATGATTACATGAATATAATAACAGGAAAACAATATTCAAAGACTTACATTTGAAAACTTGATAATAGTCAGCACTTAAAATATTCAGTCACTTTTACAACATGGGTAAACTATTTAATAATTTAAATAATGAAAAAAAATGCTGGAAACCTTTGCACACACACTCAATGTAAATGGATTATTTCAGTTGTAGGGAAAATTCTTTGAAAGAAGACAAACAAAATATACTTATAAACACCTTAGAAGAGGCAGGTTTATAGAAATATCTTCCTTTTATACTTTAATGAATATAAAATGGAAAGGTTTTAGTAAAACATAAACAGTAATGAATATAATTTGTTTGAAATGATAGTCTTTTTGCATTTTAAAGAGATGATGATAGATAATAAACAATGGTATCCTAACAGAAAAGACTTTTTCTTTATTAACTTTCATAACAACAATAATATCGGCATTTTTTTTTTTTTTGTTTTGACAAGAGAATTTTAACTCATCTCAAGTGAATATATATGCATTTAGAAGTTTTCACAAAATTATGACAAGCATCAATGCAAACAATGCCATTTAATTTAGGGAAACAAATTTGGCAAACACCTTTGTGCCTGCAAGAGAGGAAAAAAAAAAAAAATAAATAAATAAAAAAATCAAAAAGACAATTTTTCTATTGACGTCATTATTATTATTTTAACTACCTTCACTCCTCAGCAATATTTATTGTTTTAAGAAGCAATAAAAATTGGAATAAAACCTAAACATGAAAGTGAATTTATACATTATCTTTGTTCTTATAATTTCTTAATATTTTTGTTGTAAATTCTCAAAAACAAAAAAAATATAAATTCACTTTCATTATGTTTAGGTTTTGTTACAATACAAATTTCAATTTTTTAAAAACAAACATTTTTGAGGAATGAAGGTAGCTAAAATAATAATGGTGCCAAGGGAAAAACATCCTTTTGATAAACTGTTTTCATGTAGGCACAGAGGTCCAAGTTTACCAGAAATTTAGCTAACATAAGATCATTGCCTGCTTGATTAATTAGTTTGAATAAATAACAGTACTTTTATTAAATCAGTACATGAAAAACACCCATCAACAATAATAGTAATGGCCAAAGTACTTTCAAGGGTTGAATAAAGTCACCTGCTCAGATTTAAAAGAGTTATTGCTCAGAAATTAAAATCAACTTGTTCAATAAAATCTACACCAATCTAGTCATCGTTGATGAACTGTCCAAAACCTTGTGAGAAAAATGTAAATGAAACATCGACTTTATAGAAACTTCAAAACATGAAAGAGAATTTGGATTTGTGACACAGTAAAATTACATACTTGAACAGAAAGATAAAAATACATAAAAGGGTTGTCATGGTTAACTTTATTAAATTACATTGTTATAATAATGAAATATGAATAGTAATAATAAATTACATTGTTATAATAATGAAACAACTTGATTCTTATTTTGTGCTAAATACCTGAAGCTCGACTTGAGTAATTAATTTCTGGTATGTTCATCTGAGACGTTCGTTGGCATAATGTTTCTAGGGGAAATGGATTTGGAAAATTTGAAACAAAAGCTAAAAAATAAAACAAAAAATAAAGTGAAGGGAAAGAAGCAGTGTTTGAAATAATTACATCAGTCCTGAAATTATAAAAATGTTCAAAGTCAAAATTTTTAACTATTTTAAAAGCCTATCATCTACAACTTCATAATGGGATGAATTCAAATACTTTTTTTTTTTTTTTTTACAGCTAATTGGGTACAAGTCTGGTAATTGGTGAAATTCTATTATGTTTTTGGTAGCAGTTCAGTCACTTGTTTATTAGTAGATTCTCTTGTCAAGTTGGGGGGTATCAGGGAAGAAAAAACTCTTCACCATCACTCATAGTCCCACAAATTCTGTTCAAGCTGAGCCTCTATTTCAACTTTCCATTAAGATCTTGCATGTTTCTAAGGGTTCATCTAAGGCTTCCATCGGTTGAATCATCTGCTTATTTCTAAAAGGTCTTTTCACTGATATTTAAGACATTACTGCATAAGATGAAGCAAAAAGCTGTGCTCATCATTCAAGAATATATTGCTGTATTTTCTGCTTGAATTTCTGAGATGAGGACATGTTTTAAAATGAGGAGTTATCATTAATTATTAACATGATGAGGACAATAGACTGACTGTAAATAACATGAATAATGATAACTGTTCATCCAAGAATTTTGGGAAGAAATTATTGAATCGGGACAAACCCAATGTTCCAATGGAGGTGACTAGAAAAGCACCATGAAAAATGTTGAACCCTTTGACATTATCATACAGATGGAAGGACCTAAAGCTTGTCCTATCAAACCCTTATTTATCAAGGCACTAATTCCAGGTGAGCACAAACAGCAATGGAAAGAGCAGGGCAAGTCATAATTAGCCCAATTTTAAATATAAATACTGCTACATTATCTAGAATTTTGAGAAGTCATTAGCATATTCAACACTACTCAGAAACAAATCTTTTTTTATATATTTGTTGTTGCTAATATATTTAAGCCAATTCATTCTTTGGCCTTCATCAAGTATAGTACATGAGAAAAAAAGAAAAGTGTGCAATTCTCTTTGCTTAGCAAAGTGTGTGTGTGTGTGTGGGGGAAGCCCTACATTCCCACTCATGGTATAGCTTGGAATCACTTGGACATCTTGTTTACCCATCGATGGAAAAATAGACTAATCTGGTGGATAAACTAATAAGGAATTTCTTTACTGGTTGTACTGTGAGATTTTATTTTTTTATTTTGTTCTCATGGATTAGCTGAAATATTGTGATGATAAGAGCAAAAATACAGAGAAGTAATTCAAGTGTTCTCTGAAGAATGGTGGCTCTACTGGGGGACCAGGAAATGACTGCCAAATAAAGCAAGAATGTCTTAGGAGTCACCTAACAAAGTTAGCCTACCTCAAAATACCAGTTTGCTTCCATACTACAGGTTCATTAACACGTTTACTGCCACACATGGCATATTGTACATAGCTTCTGATATACACGTGTTTCCATTCCTGGGTTTTAATTTCTTTGAAGAAAGAAAGAAAAAAAATACAACCTTCCCAGTTATTTTTTTGTGTGATGATTTGTAGATCTTTTTCCTTTTTGCAAAAATAACAATCAAGATAAACAAATGTGTCACATAAATTTGGAGAAAAATGCAAAACTAGGAATGAGGATGCAAGGTAAGGTTTTTTTTTTTCTTTAGAGATTAATAAATTTTAGTTACCAAAATAAAAGTATTAAATGTATTTTAGCATAAAAATAAAGAAATAAATTTTTTTTTCAAAAGCACCCTTCACAAGGTAAATTGAGTTTTGAAAGTGAAAAGAGCATGATGAGTGCGTATATAAAATACAACAATAAATACAGAGAGAACAAGAAGCAAATTAAGAAATTGGTGACAAAAAGCAGACACGATAACAAAAAAGATGCAGAGGGAGACAAGCAAAGCAAGCAACAACAACAAAAACATAAAAGAAAATGGATTCAAAAATCAAGAATAAAAAAAAAAGAGGAAAAATAAAAACAAAACAAAATTTCAATTTTTTGCAAGCAGAACTAAAGTTTCTTTGCATACACAAGGTCTACATAATTCTAAATTCTTCCCTACCCCAGGAGGCATATAATTCTATAACAAGTGACAAGTTTTAACACAAATGATTCTTCAGCAATATTTCCCCTTTAACAAACATGCACATATCTTTTTAAATCTAACATTCACCAACTTCCCCCACAAAAGTAGGGGGAGAAAAATACTAATTTCTACTTTCAATACTTCTTCTATTATATTACTAGGGCTGGGCTAGAATTCAAAATAGTTTATTTTTAAAAATTATTTCTAATTTTAGAGATATCAGTGCCTTTTCTGAACATGTTAAACTTGTTATATTGCATAAGCTGAACTAAAAGTGCAAAGGTGTGTGTGTGTATATATATATATATATATATATATATATATAGTTTTTTTTTTTCTTCTTCTGAAAGCATCAAAACTTACGTGGCTGGTTTGTCAAAGGAGGTAACTGATTGCTATTCCCTGAAAAAGACATTTAAACTTGGATTTAATAAATAATTAAAGGGAACAAAGTTTAATGAAAATAAAATCAATAAATGAAAAGCAAATTGACAAACAAATGGGCCCATATTGAATAATACTGTGCAAATGGAGAGCAGGTAGCAGAAGAGGTGAATGACAGAAAAATAACAATTTTCATTTTCAGTGGCCAACACTTTAGTCACCTAGAATGCAAGATTGGGCTGGGCGGGGGAAAGGCGGTGAATAAAAAAATATTACACACAAAAGTGAAATGAACAGTTTTTATATAAAATAAATATTTTTTTTGTACAAATTTCTAATGTTTAAATCTATCTAGAGTTTGTTTCTTTTGAGATTACATCTATTATATCTTTGCCTTGTGAACGTCGATACTGAAAGTGACTCTGTATTTGTTGCAGGATTGTTGGAATTGATAAAATGCATGCAAGACAGGAGGGTTTTTCAACATTGGTTTGCAAGATATGCCAAGTTTGCAATGTCATCTTCTCTCCTTTGCCTTCAGTTTTTGCATTAATTCAATGAGGGCATTAAAAATCTTGTGGTAAAGGACTGTCAGCATCCAGAGATACCAATTTCTGGTTGGAGATAAAGCATGAGGCATGGGTCTCTTTTAGAGAACACCTGTATCAATTATGTTGCACACTTTTGTTAGGTTGGCTTCAAGGGATATATGGAAGCTGATGGTCTTCTATTCTTGATACACATCTAGCTCAGCATAGCTATGTCCATTGCAGCAATGTTTCAATGCAGAAGGTACATCCATACACACATGTGTAAGGGGATTAAAGTCAATTTATGTTGAATGTAAACATTCCAAGACTGTTTCAAACCAAATTTAAAATACATATGCAGTAAAGGTTCCACTTTGGAAAGATTGTTTATCATTGTGCTTCCAAATGGTAATTTTGCTATAATAATCAAATGACAAAGAATAAAACCAGTAACAAATGGAATGGTTCAAGCAGAATAGATTTCATATCACTGTTATTTAAATGTCACCAACAATGCAAAGAAACTTCAAACAACATAAAAATCACTAACTAGGATGATTCCTTATTTACGCAAAATAAAACAGCATACACTTTTTACCTATTTAAAGTGTGTGTGGGTTTGTGTGCATAGTTTTAAGGTGTGCTATATTTATAGGATAAAGTGCTCAATTTCAGAGATAGAGCATATGTAAATATAAATATAAAAGTGAACATTGAAGTCAACACTCAGAGGCGACAGGCTGTTTCATGCTGGACACAATCGTCAGGCCGCCTGATGATTTATTCAAGATTTATTCAACAACTAAAAGGGGAGGGGATATTAAAACACGAACAATAAATAAAGGTAGAATGACAATATGGGGATATTCATCCTAATTCAGTAACCAAGATTTTTTATGTCTAGATATGTTAAGAATTTCGGTTTTGTAGTTTAATAGCTGGTTAGGTTGATTATATAAAGCTATGGCTAATTTCTCCTCTGTACATAGTTTACAAAATTTTTGGCCTGCTTTATATTTGGGGCATTTTTTTAATATTTCCCATTTAAGGATGGGGTCTTTATCGTTTTCTTGTCTAGTTTTCCATACATAGGTGGATAGTGTGGTACTATGTTTAGTTTTTTCGTTTTTAAAACTACTCGTGTGGTTATAGTATCTCTTCTTAAATTATCCTGAGTAGCACCTATGTATATTTTAGGGTTTGTATCCTCCATATCCTTATAAATTTTCGCCTGCCCTGATGATCCGCTTAGGTGAAACCTGGGTAGGTTTGTCTGGCTCACTAGGTTTATATATATATATATATATATATATATATTAGTTTTAAGGTATGCTATATTTATAGGATAAAGTGTTCAATATCAGAGAGAGTGTATGTAAATATAAGTGAACTGAAGTCAACACTCAGAAGTTACAGACTGTTTCATGCTAAATGCAATCATCAGGCCTGATTGCATTTAGCATGCAACAGTCTGTCACGTCTGAGTGGTGACTTTAATGTTCACTTAAATATCAGCATTATTTAGCTTTCAATTTCCTAATATTTTAAAAAATTTATTGGAAATTTTGCTAAAATTGCTTATATGTCTTTAATGATATGTTTTTACTGTGTTGTTGCACTTTTATTTTTTTCTTTTAACAAAAATAAAACCTTTTGATTCTTTTTAGAAATTAAATTTTTAGTTGAGGAATTTATTTTAGACTGTATTATTAGTGATTAATTTTTTCAGATAAGATTGAAGACTCTTTATTAATTATTAAGTTGCTCTGATAATTCATATTTATCCTACAGGATTAGGTACTCCTTGTACTTTATGAAAATATATGCTCAAGTTAAACCACAATACATAGGATAATGCCTTTCTCGTTAGAGAATTATTGTTGCAATATTTTATTTATATATATATATATATATATATATATATATATATAAGAGTGTTCCATGTTTTTGAAGTGCATGATGAAATTGAATTGTCACACCTAAATTTATTCAATTCATTGAAAAACGTGCATGAGGATATCCTTAAGATAGGACATATTCTCTTAGATAATCGTTATTTTACATTATATTTTTAGAATGGTCATTACAGATTGCTTCTGAGCATCACACATGTTCATAAATTTGGGAAATGCAAAAATGAGTGCTAGGAAACAACTTTAATGCATACAATTTCAGATGATTGAAATTTCACATAATAAATTGTAATTTTAAGGTTCAACTGTGACAGACACAAATTTCAGCCACAGTAAATAGATTAATATGTAGTGTTTTGCATCAATTTTGCTCTAAACATGTCTAGCATAAAAATTTGTTACCATTAAAAAAAAAAAAATTACAGTTACGGAATCAAACTGAAATTAAATCCCCCCCCCAAGAATATCATATGAGATTTGATGGCAAAGAATTCTTCCTTATAAACTGATTCCTCAAATGAACTTTTCACAAATGAAACTATCTGGCCTCACAAATGCCTGATTAAAAAACATGGCACATTTAAGATGAAACATTGGAGAGCATCAATTGATATATTTTATATCGTCATCACATATGGCGTGTGAACATTTTGGAGGTCAAGACCAACATTTACATTAGGCTAAATTTTTAAGCACACAGTGAAGAATAAACTTAGTTGTTAAGAAATCTACGACAAATAGACTCACAAGCGTTATGGAAAAAATTAAATACTGTATACATTCTGATCAGAACAATGCAAATATTTTTTGATATAGGGTAGTTATCCCATCTAATCTGCTTTAAATCCTATATTTTCCAAGCCAGTCTGTAGAGATTTTTAACAACAAAATACCAAGTTTGTGCTTGTAATTGGTCTGTTTGATAACAGACTAATTAGTTCATTTCCAAATTAATATTTCTTTCCAATTAGTCATTTGAATGAAGAGAGTGAAAGCAGCAGTTCTTTCCAATGAAGATAGAAAAGGTGGGGAAATATAAAATCTGATTATCTGACTAAATCTGGGAAAAACAGATTTCTTAGGGGCTGTGATATCATTCATGACTTTCATTATTTTTTTCTAACAAACACGTGATGCTTGGCCAAAAAGTTTTTAATTCTTTGAAGTTTCATTATATGTTGGTTTTGTTCAAAATAGAAAAAATGTCACTAATAACTAATTTTTTAAAGGATCTTTTGATCTGTTATGAGACAAGAGGAAGACAAACGCAGATGAAGCTGATAAATTCTTTTGATTTACCTATGTGCTCATGGGAAAGGATTTATTTTATCTATGAAATAAATTATATATATACACACACAGGGTGTATCAAAAATACCAAATCTTGAAAGAAAAGAGGAAAAAAGAAAAAAAAGAAAAAAAAAGGAAAAAAAAGAAAAAAAAAGGAAAAAGAAAAAAAAGAAAAAAAAGAAAAAAAAAAAAAAAAGGAAAAAAACAAAAAAAAAAAAAAAAGAAAAAAAGAAAAAAAAAAAAAAAAAAAAAAAAAAAAAAAAAAAAAAAAAAAAAAAAAAAAAAAAAAAAAAAAAAAAAAAAAAAAAAAAAGACAAAAAAAAAAAAAAAAAAAAAAAAAAAAAAAAAAAAAAAAAAAAAAAAAAAAAAAAAAAAAAAAAAAAAAAAAAAAAAAAAAAAAAAAAAAAAAAAAAAAAAAAAAAAAAAAAAAAAAAAAAAAAAAAAGGAAACCCAAACTACTGATTGAAACCTAACTGGGAACAGAGGAACATAAAGTAATAATTAAAACAGAACTAAGAATAATAATTTGTCTTTAGCAGTTTTTTTAAAAGTTCAGTTGGAAAGTATATATATATATATATATTATATATAGACAGATCATGTTACATTGGGAAAGAAGAAAATATGAAAAATAATTTTAGAATTACAATTATGTAAGATAAAGATTTGTAATATGAAATGTAGAAAATATTTCAGGAATTTACTTCTTGTTCCATCATCAAATACAAACTTCTTTAACCTTAATCAAGTCACTTCATGGTGAATAGCAGTGTCGTTCCCTGTCTTTACACTGTATGTGTGTGTTATGTGCAGACACATTGTATTTTCATTTTTGTTGACCCTATTTCTGCATTGTTTGCAGTAATAATTTTGTTTTGTAAGGTGTTCTGTTGTTTTTCTGAAATTCCTGAAATTTTTTGCTGTTGTCTTGAAGAGTTTTAAATTTACAGTTGTAGTCTTTTTTCATTTGAAATAACTAAGACATTAATCACCTGTTATAATGACAGTATTTCCATTTTAGCAGAGTTCTTTCATAGACTTTTTTTTTTTTTTTTTTTTGGTTAATAGGAATTGTCACTTTTGATAGTTGTATTGGTTTTTCTTCTTTCAGCTTTTACTCTGTGTGTGTGTGTGTGTGGGGGGGATGTTGAGGTCAACATCCAGTGGTGACAGTCTATTTCATGCTTAAACACAATTTTCCTCAATGTCCACTTTTTATATTTACATACATGCTATCCCTGATACTGAGCACTTTAACCTGTAAATATAGCATACCTTATATATA